ACCACCACTCCTTTACTTTCAACCCTTTTTAGGGTTCCATCTGGTAAGCATGTGTTAATTGGATTACTGAGTGCCTGTAGATTCTTAATGAGTTTGATGTCAGAACATATATGCCTACTTGCACCCGTATCAATGATCCATTCTCCCTCTTGACCATCCTCAACTGTTGATAAGGCATAATGCATATCATTGCCCTTTTCTTTCCCAGTCAAGTCAACAAACTGTGCATAATCCAAGGCATTTTCCATGTTTTCCTTTCCTTTAATGTATTGAGTAAGTTCATTGAGTTGCTGAACTAAGAACTAAGATCAGGTAATTCTGCCCCCTTTTCATTCACCCTTTTCCTTTGATCTGTCAACTCAATGCCTGCTTCAACATTGTTGGCATACGAGTTTCCTTGTTGCTGTTTAAAATCTCTGTACCAATCTGGTATGCCATGTATCTTGAAGCATGTGGATGTGTTATGACCCTTCATTCTACATTTTTCACAAATAAGTCTGGATTTTTCTTCCTTTGACAGCCTAGGAGTTCCTCTCCCATTGCCCCATTGTCCTCCACCTCTACCAGGTGTATAGTTGCTTCTACCATATCCCTCTGTCCTTGCTGCTAGCACTGTACTATCCAACCTATCAGTGTACAAGCTTTGAACTATTCTTTGTCTCTCAGCTGTGAGAACCATTGAGTAAGCCTTATTGACATTAGGCAGAGGATCCAACAACATAATTTGGTTCTTCAAATTGTCATAACTCTCATTAAGTCCCATGAGAAACTGAATGAGTTTTGTTTCAGCTTCATGTTGAGCTACCTGCTTTCCTTTATTACAATCACAGATTCTCACAGGTGCAACACAGGCATATTCATCCCAAAGCTTTTTAAGCTTATTAAAGTAATCAACAACTGCTTCATTTCCTTGATTCAAGCTGCTAATTTCTCTCTGTAATTTGTACTTCATAGGACCGTTATTCTCACCATATCTCTGACATATTTCTTCCCATAGATCCTTTGCAGATTCAGCATACATAAAAGATTCAGCTATATTTTTAGACAGAGAGTTCAAAATCCATGAAAGGACCGTCCAGTCCACCTTTTTCCAAACAGCATACATTTCATCTCTCTCATTAGGTTTTTCAATTTCTCCATTGATGAATCCAATTTTCGTTTTAGCACTAAGAGCAATTATCATCGACCTCTTCCATGAAAGGAAATTGTTACCAGTTAGGGGATTTTTGACAAGCACATACCAGGATGATCCGAACCGTGTAAGAATAGAGGATCCTGCTCTTGAAGCTTCGATCCTGATGCAGTGTTGGTATTGAGCAAAGGCCAAGCCTCATTTCTCCTTTGCGCCATTGTTAAGCTTGCTCGTAGCTCAGAAATCAAATCAGAGAAACAGTAGTGTTTGAGAAGAGATCTCAGATCGCGTTGCTCGATCACAGCTCACGGTAGCAGATCTTGAGTTTTCAGGCGCCAGTATCGATCGCTCTAGATACCATGTAGAATCCCTATTTTCAGAGAAAGATATTTTTGGAACAACAATTTTTTTATTTCTACAAATCTCAAAATGAAGAAGAAGTACAGTACGACCTTATAAAGGTCTCATGCACACGCGTCCCATGTTGTCATCAAAACGACAGCGTTTTGATGTAAAAGGAAAAACGGCTTACACTTATAAAGTTGCTACCACGTTTTAAGCTAAGAAACAGCAAAATAAAAGAAACAACAAAGAAAAGAAAAAAGGAAAAATATGACATAAAAGAAATAAGCTGGAACTTGCAGCAGCTTCACTCATGCAGTAAGGGTGACCACAATTCCAACAGAGGATGATGAAGACGAGCTCGCGTTAGCCTTTTTGGAGAAGCATGACCGCATTCCAACACCAAAATAAAAATTTAGCCGTTTCATATTTATTGTTTTATTTTATTTCTTTAAGTTAGTATTTTATTTAGCTAAGTTGTTATTTTATTTAGTAGACTTGGTCAGTATTTGGCTGCATGAAGGACTCTTTATCTGTTATTTATGGATTGTAATCTGGGACTTGAAGGCAGAATAATGAGAAACATTTTTATTGCGTGAAATTGATCGTTCTTTTCCCATTTTCGTATATCCGCTGCATCATGTTCCAAAGCCCTCCAAGAGATAATGCTTGTCGTGATCTCACCAAAGAGACAATTGCTGCTCTTGTCTCTTATTCTTTTCAAATCTTTCTCCTTCTACAAGATATAAAGTTCCATCCATATCTCTTCCTCTCCAAGTAAGAATGCTATTGAGAAAAGGAAACCATATAATAATAATATTCTACCAAAATAAAATAACTAATATAAATATATTTTTATATATATAAAGAGATAACAAAAAATCAGAAAAGCAAAATAAAATAAAATGCTAAAAAAACGTATTAACATATTTGATTGTTAGTGAAGGTTTACAGTAGTACAGACCATATTTATAAGTATATCTCAAGTATTTGAGTAATCTTACAATTTCTTTCCGGTGTTTATTTCCTGGATTACTTGTTTAACAATCAACACAATGATCCGAAGGCTAGCTCAGGTCATTGACCGAGAATATGAAAACACTGATATATGAGGGATTGCCTAAATTCAACCGTACATTAGTCGAAGTTAACTTTCCATAATTAGTTAATTAATTAATTACCCTTTGAATTTCATCATAACTTTCTCAAATCGTAATGAATAGAAATTAGTAGTCGATCATGTGAACACGCAGATATGCAAATAAATATTATACATTATATGAGTGTACATAATATTTGAAGTTATAAGTTATATAATGAGTATAGGACATTTTATAATTTTAACACTTGGTAAAATATAAACAATATACATATAAATCGAATAAATAAATAAGAAACCTATGTTTATTATATACTTGTAATAAATAAAATTATTACATAAGAACTCATTTTATTATATTATATATAGATTAATTATATATCTTATTGTATTTTTTTAACATGCATGTGCAGATTTTTTCAATTAATTTATTTTATATTTCCGCAATGTATAACATTGCTGTTCAATTCCCTTTCAAATTTTCATAACAAAAAATGAACAATCAGAAATAAAATTATATCGGCATTAAAATAAAATAATATACAAGTTTTGATTAAAATATGACTTAGTAAAAGGTTTTATCTAAAAAAAAAAAAGAAACACAGTATAGTAGCATATATATGTAACATAACAATATAAAAAAATTGTTACACTACAATGAAAAATTCTACGGTAATATATTCCAACGGATATTCTAATGGCATAACTTCCGTTGAAATAATTTCAACGGAATTTTCATCGAAAATGTTCTGACGTAATTGGTTTCTCATTAGACAGGGGCGGATCTAGGAAAAAAATTTGGAAGGGGCCAAAATAGTTAATTGGAATCGGATTGTGTTTGTTCAACTCATGAATTTTTTTGAGATAGAATGACTATTCAAATATTTTTATTAAACAAATCGAATAGATTGAAGTTTGCACAAGTCAAGTTTGAGCTCATATTTTTTTTTTTTTATTAAATAGTCGAGCTGATCTGACTCATTTATTAAATTATCACACATGAGGCATTCAACTTGACTCAACACGGATAACATTTCGAGTGGAACTATAAAATTTATAGTATTTCTCTCATACATACATATATATAGGCGTAAAATTGTATTTTAAAATGGATAAAATAATTAATGAGTTGCATTACAAAATACATAACTTCTTAATTCTGGGATTTTAAAATCTCAGCATTCTTTACACTCACGAAACTCATTGATGGTTTGCTCCATATTAACAAAAATCATATAATTGATAGGTTGTCTAATTGTTAGACCAATATATTTCCTATTAAAAATGCATTGTTATACTATGAAATGTCATACTTTTATTTATATTGCACTATAAAGTATATGAGATTTAAGTATGAAAGTATAAATATAATTGTTGGAAGAGTGTAGTTGTCTAACTATTAAGTAGCAAAGAGAAGGCCTACTGTCATATTAATAATTCTATCAATTTTCTTTCGGATTGCATATGTTGCATGTTCTTCTATTCTAAATTTATTATTTAATTCTTTAATTGTACATAAGATCAAACACAAAATATTACAAAACATTATTGAAATGATTTATAAAATATGATGTAGTTAAATTTAACTAGTAAATAGAGCGATACACTAATTTGTAGTAATTATAGGATTGAGCATAAATTGAATATGATTTATAAATGTTTATTATATAGTATATGTATGTATGCATATAAATATTAAAAAATTTAAAAATCTTAGAATAATTATACATACATATATATTAATTAGCAAAATGAACAACATCTACAGTTAGAATTTTCAAAACTCAACGAAAATTTTAATGGGAAAATTATTACAACGAAATATTTTCGTTGAAATTTTCGTTGAAAAATTCTAACGAAAGAATAGCATTGAATTATCCATTAAAATAGTTGTTGGAATTCTATTGTAATATATTTCCGTTAAAATTTTCATTGTAATTTCATCATTTTCTTGTAGCGTAGATTAGTAGTTGTAATCATGTTGCACTGAATTCCACAAGAATTATTATAATAGATAAACTGATTGGATAATAAGTAGTTCAAACTTTTACTTAAAAGAAAAGAAAAAAAATATTAATAATATAAATTTGAAACGTTTTTTATTAGGTTTTATTATAACTTTTGCTAAAAACTATATATATCTTATAATAATGGAAAAAACTATATATATTATATTTTACGGAATGATTTCTTGACGGGATGGTAGCCTTCTCCTATCATTACTATAATACATTTGTGGAAAATATTTCCTATTATAAATCCAACTCATTTACCTTTCCCATTCCAATTGGGAAAACCAAATAAACCTCTCTAATCTCCACTACTTATATATAACATAATAATATCAGTCCCTTCAGAAAAAAAAAATAAAATAAAATAAAATAAAATAAAATAAAAAAATAAAGAAAGAGAAAAAATTACGCCAATATGTCTCGGAATCCCTCTGATTACCACTGCACTCTCTCCTTCAAAGCCGTCCCCCGGATCCTCCCCCTCCAAGGCCCTCCGATCTCCGACCCGACCCACTTCACCGTCCGCCTCAAAATCACCGGCGTCTGCCGCGGCACAGTCCTCGACCCGCCCAACCCGCCCCGACGCGACTTCAACGACACCATCCCCTGGCTCCTGCACCACATCCCGGTCACCGACCTCCTCCGACCAGACCCGGCCCGCCGCGCCATTCTGGACCTTCTCCAGGCCCGGTGGCCCCACATCTCGCACTATGGCCGCCGCACCCTGGCGGAGACGTTCCTCGCGGGGGCCCAAGAAGCCGTCAAGCACGTGAGCCCGGCGAAGGCACGGGCCCACAGCCGGCTCGAGATGGAATACCACGTGACGATGGACTACTATAGGTATGCCTCGCACGATTCTGACGATGACGATGAATATGATGATCTTTATGATGATGTCATCGACCGGTCGATGGAGGAGGCCGAGGAGGTTGGTATGGTCTCGACTGACGAGACGTGTATAAGAGACGTGATCGTTGTGGGGAAGAGGGCGTGGCGGGCTCGGGATGATGGTTCGACTGGCGGCTCGTGTGTGATTTGCATGGACGAGTTCGAGAAGGGTTGTGATGTGGTTGGAATGCCTTGCGGGCACGATTTTCATGAGGGGTGTGTCGAGAAGTGGCTCCGAACAAGCCATTATTGTCCGGTGTGCCGTTTTGAGTTGCCGACGAGCTAGTTAGGTTGTTCGAAATGCTAAGTTACGGTGTAAGGCAGTCTAACTGTTAGGCGTGTGAAAAATATGCACATTGTTTGATTTGCAAATATTGTTTGATTCAAAGAATTCTTTTCTGCTTTGTAAATGATCAGAATTTCTCTGCAGATTTCCTTTCTTTCTTGTGGCCAATAAGATGAAAATTTTATATTTTATCTGATAAATAGATTTGATTGTTAATGAAGGTTTAAATAAAAATGATCAGGAAAAAGACTACTTGGAGATACAAACAAGTTCATAAAAGTGACTCCCACAAAAACTCAAAAACTAATCCAAGAAAAGGAAAAATTTATCCTTATGGCTTTATTTCAAAGCAACAGAACTAGCTGCTAAAGTAAAGCATCACTGGCTCAATATCTCTTGAGCCGAGAAGCCGAAATAGTCGTCGAAGTAATTTTTCGGCTCGTTTATGAAGCACGAGATCACGTCTCTGAGTGTGATCACGCCAAGAACCTCGTTGCCCGTGTCGCGGACCACGTAGATCCTGTGGACCCCTCTGGAAGCAAGAGTGTCTATCACGCTGCCAAGTGTTGACTCAGGATTGCACGTTATCGGTGTCACTGTCCTCCCCGTGTCGTTTGTTGCCAAGCTAACCATCTTTATGAAGTCCTTCACCGTAACTCCCCTGCAATATTCGTGGTAACATAAGACATAAAGACAAGATAAGCTCCACTTTTGCAACAAGAAATGAATTTCAAATGCAGGCTAAAAAAGTTCGATTTATTACAAACATTGTACCTAGGCCTGTAAACTTGGCTCAAGCTTAGGGTGCTCAAGTCGAGCTTGGCTTGTTCAATAACCAAGCTTGAAATCGAACTCGGCTTGTTTATCACTAATAATAAGCCGAGTTCGAGTCTTAATGAGCTGAACTATAAAAATTCTCTTATCAAGTTGTGCCAAGCTCAGCTCGTTAACCAAACAAGCTTTAAATGAGTTCGAGTTCGACTCATTTATCAAATAGCCGAACCAGACTAGTTTAATTTAATAGCAACACTAATTGTATTGTACCTGAAATTCGAGAAGAGCTCGGGGTTGAGCATCAAGAACCTAATATCCCTTATGCTTATGTTGCCCACGATTTTCCTCGACTCACCTTCCATAACCGGAAGCCCTCCGATTTCCCTCTCTTTCATTTTCTTGAACGCTTCAAGAATTAACTCATCATCCCTAACGCCCACAACCTAATCATAAATAAACGTAAAAAAGGGCTCAACCTTTTATCTTCCCCTTCAAAAACGATATTTTTCGTGTTCTTTTACAAACCTGATCGGGAGACATAAAGGGCAGCCCGAGCTCAGCTAACGAGTGGTGCGAAATGCAGTCGAACCAGTCCCTGCCTTTACACCCCTGAAGGCCCTGCACAACAGCCGATTGAGTTATGAAGTTCTCGATTGTCGGGCGACCCGTCTGGATCACGGGCACGTTACGCAGCCTGTACTTTGACAGCAACAACAT